GGCACTTAAAACCCCGCATTCCTTGGGAAAACATTAAGTCTGGGCGTAAAAACTGTCGAGGACGGGGTTTGAAAGTTTGAACCGCCAAAAGGCGTACATACTCGACACTCGCGCCGCGCACTCGTGCGCACGCGAAATCTCATCCCCCTCGCTGCGTTCCGGGGGGTCTGAAAAAACAAAAAAAAAAAAACATCCTCTTCCGGCGACGACACGGTGAAGTTCGTATTGGAATTCATCATCTCCGCCCGGACGCGCGTGGCTGCGCGAAACGATTGTTTCATAACGCGGACAAACCGCTAAAGAACCGGGCGGGCTTGTCGTTACGGGACCGCGGCGAGCGGAATCGCGTCGTTTCGTCTGTAAGTCCTCGAAAATTGCCGTTGGAATTTACAGCCTATATTGTAATATTGTTATCGTTTCGCGGCCGTCGACCGACAATGGTCCCCGCCTGACGTAGGTATTCGCAAATATTATACTCCCGGGAATTTCCGAGAGAACCCCGGATACCTACCCAATAATATAATCCCCGATACGATATATATTTTTTAACGTCCGCGCAAATCGAGGCGAACCGTCGGTTCGGTTTATTGTTTTTATTAATACACAATATCATCACCGTAGATTATTCGAACGGAATTCCGACGTTTCGTTTCGTTAGATTATAATGTTCGTTGTCACTCGCACAATGCTCCGGCAGGAACGCGCCTCCGAAACCCACCGAGATTTCTGTATAATTTTTAACACGCGCGCAATAAAACATCCGAATCGTATGCGCCGCGAGTTTTCGCGGGGATTTTCGAGCACATTCTCACCTACACGCGCGCTACACGAACTCGGCACAACTTTGCGAAACCACTCCGACAAATCCTACTCGGGCGTTGTTGGACAACTCTTGAAATTTGTTGGACAAAAGTTGCTATAATATTTTTTAACTTTGAGTATACGCCCCTATGAACCAAGTCTACAAGTACGTTGCACTAGATATTTCAAATTCTTTGTAAAGTCAGAGAAAATTACTTTAAACTTTCAACAAGTTTTGAAACACGCGTAACAAACTTACGAAAATATTTTTAAACGAAATATTCCGGACGGGGTTGAAATATTTCAGACCGGAATAGCAGGGCTGGATTTTTAGGTACTTATTAGTCGATCGGATAAAGTCGGTGGGCTACGTGAAATTTTCCCCGCGATACTTATATTAGCATTTCTTAGACAGCATTTCCTAGACACCGTTTCCTGGTTAAAACATTTCAAAACATCCTGGCGATTTTCAAGTTATTTAAAGACGTTTGACATGTCTTTTTGCCTGTTGTTTTAACGATTCGATTTGATTTTATGTGGGGTAAAATTGATTTGGTCCAACGTAAATGTTTGAAAACTCAACGCGAAGTTCGTTATAAGTTGTACGGTGATGAACAATATCACTGAGCGCATTATAGGTTTTATAAGCCGTTTTCGAACGAATTGTCGTACGGTTTGGGTGTATAGGATACATGTGTATCGTGCAGTCGCCATTTCTCACCGATTTTTCGACATACCCGGTCGCATTGCCGGTTGTTGCGCACACCTACCTACAAACGGTAAGTATAATCGGCTGCGGCATATCATCCGGCTAGGTATTACAACGGCGTACCGCCTGATATGCGCGTAGTTGAAGAGGCGCACATTTAACACCGAAAACGAATCCAAAGTGTCCCACAGCGTGCTATTTAGTTTTTAAAAGAAACCCGAGTTTCGTATACACTCTTATATAATACTTTTACTCGCGGTGTATACCGGCTATTTGATAATACGGTCTCCCGAGAGTATTATGTACGCGTAGGATTTCAATTGAAACTTTACCTCGTGTATTTTGACAAACGGCGGAGAGCACTCGAAAAAACGACGCTGCAGATGTTATACAGTATTATAGATAGTTAGGTAGGCATCTAATATAATGGGACGGCTGGGAAGGGAAGCATTTCGCGGACCCCAATTAGACGGGATAAAGGCGAAAGGGGGAAAAAAAAAAGACGAAGACCGCAATCGTACGGCGACGACTGCGGCCCGGGCCCTCGTACAATAATAATAATAATGATTTTTTTCTCCTAAGGAATTTCCGCTGCGGGTTCAAACCTCTTACTGCTGCTGCAGAATGACGAGTCGTAAAATAATAATAATTTACAACGGTCTAATTTTTTATTTTTATTTTTTCAATGCCGAGGTTTGTTCGTTAACGCGCGGATTTCGAATGCGAATTTACGTCCGTCGGTTTCCGAAGCGGTTGTGCACGTAATGTATACGGGCCGGGCCGCGTTCGATAAACAGGCGTGTAATTTCAAATTTTTCGACGTCGGTTTTTCGGCAACCGCAAATTATTATGCTACACTATGTTCCGCGGGTCGATTCGTTTCAATCGTCCGCGCGGCGGTGACTTGTCACAGGTCCGGGACGATGCCAACGGGGGTTTTCGTGCCGACCAAACGACCCGCGATCAGTCATCGGAACGAATAATCTATAAAATACATTACAATCTCCGTATAAATTATAATGTCGGTGTAAAATCGATATTCGGTACGATTGTCGGTGTCGGTGCTTCGGGACGTCCGAAATTCACGATCATTTACTGTCGAACGGGGAAAGCGATGCGTGTAAACGCGCGCGCGCGGTCCTCTGATATTTTGTGACACCGTGTAAAAAAAAAAAAAACTTTCACGAAAAAAAAAAAAGCGGTTTTACAGATTCGCAGATACAGTGTGGAGTATCATTTGTGTGGCGATACGGCGCGACGCGTGTTAATAATGCATCACTACTCTTCTCAAACCCAAAATTAAAAGTGGTGTATCTCATCAACGGCAGACGTAAAAAATGTCAACACTAAAATTTATTTCAACCAATAACTCGGGCTATTTGCGTACTTTTTACATACAGGTTGTCGTGTGAAAATCAAAAATAGGCAGTGGTTTTACCGCAGCAAATAATAAGGGTGACAAAAATTGTCATGCGTGTGAAATCGTCGAGCCGCTTGTTTCTCAAGTATTCTAGTAAACGAATTCCGGGAAAAGTTACGAACCTCCCGACATAACGAGTGTACCCGCTGAAATGGATCGTAAAACGCGATATCGTACAACGTCGTGTCTAAATCGAAAGATATTCGGATCGCGGTGCACGTTCGAAATCGACTCGCCGTTCGGTATAGAAAACACCGATTCGAAACGGCGGCGAACAAACGTTTCAAGAGTCGTCATTTTCGTCGGCTCTTCCGCGAGTCTACCCCGGCACGTTGGCACGGTTTTCAAACAAACGTTGTTGTCGCGGCGCGCCGTTTGTTACCGTGTCGTTTCGACGCGTTGCCCGGCCGGCCGCGGTAACGCACGTCAGTGTTTAACAACAGACTGGCGCGCGCGCCGCCGTCGACGCGCGGATTTAATGCGACGGCCGGGCCGCGCCGCGCAGAGAACATCGACGGCCGGACGTCCGGGCGCCCGGCGTCCGTTCCCGATTGCCGTTGTCGCCTCGCCGCCGGAGGGACCGACGGGCGAACGATCGGGTACGGTTCGCGGGCCGCCCGCACAAACGGACGGGGCCAATAACATCGCAAGAGCCTCGTTACGCGGCCGCACGCGTCTGCTGCAGTCGGCTCTCGGTCCGGCGGACGCGCGTAAAACGACGTTTGCGCAGAACACAAGCAAAACCGGCCGGACGCGACGCTTTACGGGGAACGTCATCAGCGTTTCATTCGATAATTACGAACTATTGAAAAAAAAAAAAAAAAAAAAAGGTTACCGTGGTTTTCGTATCTTTCACGCCGAGCTGTTATATTTTGAACGAATACGAAATCCCCGCCACGACATTACCTTTCGAAATTTCGTTCTCCGCACATTTCGCGTAATCGGCGCTTTTACTCTAAAATCAAAAATTAAGCCGGTTTTACTTGTTCTTCTGCGTGCCTAAGCGCCGTTTCTGCACACGTTACTCGATAGTCGCGCTGAGACAGTAAACGCGCGGGAGTAACGTCCTCTTGAGCAAACGGGTATTTCAATCTCCCAGGGTGGGCCGTCCCGATCGGAAACGTTCGCGGAGGAGATCGTTCACATTGGAACAACGCCGTTCAGTGTATTCGACCGTATTCCGACATTTTTACCATTATTCGTATCGCGCGTTTTCGTAATTTTACAGCGCATATTTTCGCTGTTTATTGTATTTAGTTTCGCGTAAAATCCGCTGGTGAAAGCCGCCGTTCGTGTGCAATAATAGGCACACACGGATTCGACGACGAGTAAAATCTATTTTTTCGCGGTTTTAAACGCGACTCATTATTTTTTACTTGGAGGAGGAATGTTTTTGACGGGAGAACTCGCTGAAGACGGGGGAATACCATTTTAGAACGGTATTTTTTTTTCCTTTTTTATCAAATGTCCAGTGCACGTTTTGTAAAAAAAAAAAAAACAAATGCATATTAAAGTATTTTGTTTTGTGTACATAATTATTACCGTTCTATATCTGCTTATAGTGGTTTGGCATCACAAGTCCGGGGATAGACTGCAAACGCGGATTTCGGATTTCGAATTGTTTATTGATTACACGATTAGTTTTTGAATTGCGTGAAAAACGTCTAGAGAAAAAATCAAAATCAAAATCCGAAATCCCGATTTCACATACGTTTCCGGATTTTTCTCACCGCGATACCAGTAACACCTGTAACATTATAATATCATAATACAGTGAAACCTCCACTAACGGACACCTCCCAATAGCGGACGTTTTTTGAGGAACGGGGACATTTTCACTACTTTTCAATAGGAAAACCTCCGAATAGCGGACTCTCCGAATAACGGACATTTTTTTATTTATACAATTTTATAATTATAAATTTATATATTATTTTATTAGGNAAATAATGGTAAATCCCTAATCATTATTTGAAAAAATACGTATTCACATTCGTATGCACTCTCGTAATAATTACGATAACAAACTTGTTATGGGACGTATGTCAGTTAGTGACGGTTTTCAACGCGATGACTACGTCAAAACGAAAGCGGTTGTCGCTTCGCGAAAAAGTTGACATTTTAGATTACCGTAAAAATAACGGAAACGTAGGAATTCGTGCACTCGCAGAAAAAGTTGACATTTTAGATTACCGTAAAAATACGGGAAACGTAGGAATTCGTGCACTCGCAGAAAAGTTTCAAGTTGGAAAAACACAGATATTGTGTCTAACACAGAAGAAATTTATAAAGCGTGGGTTGAAAATGGAAATGAAGAACGAAAATTAACGAAATTAAGAACAAATGTGAAGGCAGTGTGATTGATAAAAAACTTTTGGTCTGGTTTAGCAAAACTCGAGAAAAAAATTTGCCAGTTTCCGGACCAACAATACAGGAAATGGCTAAACGACTTGCTGGAGTTCACGGATTAAACGACTTTAAAGCTTCAAACGGGTGGCTGGAAAAATTTCGAAAAAGACACAACATTTCGTTTAAGTCTATCTGTGGGGAAGCTTCAGCCGTTGATAGAATAGCTGTTGATGACTGGAAGAAACAATTAAAATATGTAATTTGTAAAAACATAAAAATGTAATAATTTTCAATAAATAATAAGTAAGTAGTAACATTACATATATGTATGTATGTACGTACATAGTACATTATTATACAAATAAATTTCAAAAATGTATCCCCTCTGAATAACGGACGCCTCCGAATAACGGGCAAAATGTTGGTGACCAAGAGTGTCCGCTATTCAGAGGTTTCACTGTATATAATATTCGTACGGCATTTCCATGGTTTCCCGCGCGTCCTACACGCCGTCGTGTACATCATGCAGACGCAGAACACGATTTCAGTATTCCGAATAGAGCACCGTTGACTCGACGACGACAAGGAGATACTGGGCTATAATGTCGTCGTGATGTTATTATAATACTCGAACACCTCCCCCCCCCCCCTCTTTCCCTGCTCGTTTATTGATTTTCGTGTGCGTTCAATCGGACAGACGTCAGTCCGTTTCACGCCTCGCGGACCCTCTCGGCGTGCCCTCTCCTCCCCTCCCTCCCTCCCTTTACCCCTCCCACCGTCACCCTCGTCTCGCGGCGGCCGACGACGACGCGTTCTATCCGCAACCGGTTTTCGGTTCACACACGCGTTTAAAACGGGAAAAAAAAAATATATATATATTTTTATATATACGACAAAATAATACGCTATTAGAGTCGTATGCGGCGCCGGAGTGTGTGTGTATTTTCGGACTTTTTTTTTCCCGGTTTTTTTTTTTGTCGTTTAAATTTTAACACGGCCTATTAATTCGGTCGGGGATACGGACGCCGCCGACGCCGTGCGCGTATTCGGGTGTAAAACGACCGGGCCGCCGCCGTATTAACGCCGGTATAATGTACGGGTGTTTTGTAGCGATCCGAACGATTCCGACTGCGCGACACCCCGAGATCGAATTATTATTATATTCTTTGGTTTTTTTTCCGACTACGGCGTTACGGCATAAACAAAACGTAAACACGTATACGTATACGTACATATCGTTGAGACGCGCGAGAGTATGTCGGGAGGGCAGGGGGGTGGGAGGGGCGACAGGAGGGTCGAACAGTTACACCTCGTTCGGAAATATTTTAATTGGAATCCGGTCGCGGTCAGTTTTTTTTCTCCGTGTTATATTTACCCTTCGGACTTCTGTACAGCACGTTACCGCATAGTGTATTGGACTGCGCGAGCAGTCACGCCGCCGCGAAATTAAACGCCGTCGCCGGACGACGCTGCACGTCACGTTGTACCGACAACGCGGGACGATCGAACTCAACGCCAATATCATTCTGAACCGTCGTTATCGTTCGGTAACAAATACGCGATATCCGAACCGCCGACGGGAGTCGTACGCCGCGCGAGGGGCCGCGTTACATCGATTAACCCGCGGCGTTGCGTTCGGTTTTCGCCGCGGACGTCGCGCACACCGTGAACATTTTGAAGTCGGTTCGGGGCCGAGACGCGCGCGGCTGCTCATCGCGGCTCTCTGCGCTTTCGGCAGCACCGCCGCGGCGCGAACAAATAACTCGCGGGTCGACCGATACGAGTCGTCCTCCCGGCGCCGATACGGCGGCCCGGTCGGCCGTCTCTTGTTGTTTTCGCGGCGAAAGAGTCGACGGCGGGCGTGTGCCGGCGACCGTCCGCGTTCGACGGCCGATATCCGTTACGCGTTGGTTTTTTATTAACGCAGTGTCCGCGGGACATCGGTCACGCCCGCGCGGCGTAAGTGCGGACGAAAACGCAATGTCCGTTATATACGGCCGTAACTCGACGGGGATACGCCGGGAAAAAACCTCAAAAGTTTATTGAGCGTGGTCGCGTATCGACACTTAACGGCGGCGGTTTCGGTGGATTCGTTTGTTTTTTTTTTTTTTTTATACGAGCGTGCGCGCGAAACAGTTGAACGGAACGCTGTTGACTGCGTTGTATAGGAACGCGTGTAAACAGAGTGTTTCCACACTCTGATATGCCAAATAGATTATAGACGGTAAACGCCCGTTTATTAAAAATCAGTATAGTCCGGCGACAATAATATGGGCGAAATCTGACGGCTGTGTTTACGCGTATTCGGCGATGAATTCGATTATTGCCGGCATACCTGTACACAAATCAAATCTCTATTAATCGTGTTCATTTTCATAGCCGATTTATCCAAAATTTCAAAAAAAAAAAAAAAAAAACATAAATCAAAAAAAAATCAAATTTACCGCGTCTCCCCGTTTTCACTTCTATCCCCATCGCGGTGAATCGCTGTCGCCCGGTAATTTATCTTTTACAAATGGCACTTCCGCGTCCGTAAAAAAACCTAATTAAATAACACGGGCGATTATAATAACGCCGAAGTATACCGACAATGTGGTCAGGCTCTTCGCTAACGTCTACTGTCTCCGTACTCGTAAACTGCTAACTTCTTTCACTCGTGTTTATCGTAAATATTATTTCACAGATTGTACGATATTTTTATACAAGAACAGAACAAAAAAAAAGTACAATAACTATTTATTTTTATTTTTTTCATCCGTGTCGCCGGAATAACTCGAAAACCAAAAATAATCGATTTTCGTTCCACCGAAAATAAAGACCCCTGTGTCGGCCGGGCGTTGTGTTTCGAGACAGACAGCCGCGGGACCTCCGACTCTTTGGTTTGCACGTCAAAAGCGGCAAGGTGTTCCACCGGATTCGTACGGCGGACGGACAGACAAACACATACATCACATACAGAATTATTTCGATTTCTGTATTTATTCGGTTCGGCATTCGACTGTCGGTTAGCGCGTCGGTGTTTGTCTCGTATTATGTACAGATATACACAGACGGTATAGGCGGGTATACCGCGGCCGCCCGATTCGCGATTTTTTTTTTTTTTTTTCTACCGATCGATTTTATAATTCGATTTGTCCGTCGCGGTCGTAGCCGCAGCGGCGGCGGCGGCAGCGCAGTGGGTACAGTCGCTGTGTGCCGTAACGCGGCAAGCCCGCGTTACACGCCCGTTTAGACTGTAATTATTTCGTGTACGTCGTTTCGATTTAGATAAACACCCGGCAGAAATTAACGGCTTTGTAACGAGAATATTTTTTCGTTCCTCCCGTCGCCACTTATTATCATTATTAGTTAGTTAGATAGGTAGGTAGGTAGGTAGGTAGGTAGGTAGGTGGGTATAACACACGCGCAGGAGTCGTACAAGTGGATACACGCGTGTACATAATATTATATGGTAGTTGTAGTATCTGTACGGATATACCTACTGGCCGCGCCGCTAATACACGCTCCTTAAACTCGGCTCGTAAATTAAACGTATTTTATAATAATGTAATTTTTTATCGTGTGTATATGTATACGTATATACGCACACAACACACATACGCGATGTCTGCCGAAGAAAATAAAAAAAAAAAAAAACGGAAAAAAAATTGCCCGCGGGCCGTTCGCGCGCGCGCACTCGCTCGCTCTCCGCGATTAACCATTTTTTCGATATCACTGCCGGTCGGATCTTTTTTTTTTTTTTTTTCATTATTATTATTCGGTCGTTTTTTTTTTTTTTTCTGTAGACACTCACGCACGCGCTCCAAGGGATACGGAATTTTTTTTACATTTAATAATTTTTTTTTTTTCAACAATATTATTTCGACGCCGTCAATACAACAACAAACAACTACAATAATAATAATAATCGTATCGCGTACAACAAGTTTTTAATTGGACGCGTGTGCGCGTGTATGCGTGTGTGTGTATACAATCGATTTTTTATGGCTTGTTACTATATGCACACACACGCGCGCACGCGTGTATGTGTGTGTGTGTGTGTGTGTGTGTGTATGCATATAATATATCATTAGCATGTCATTGCGGCGCTCGTGTATATGTATACGTACCGCAGCACTGCATAATATTATTATACGTGTAGGTACTGACAGATTTCTATAATATAATATAAAATAAACGAGTCTATAAGTGTGCGTGTGTGTGTGTGTGTGTAGACATATGCGTATACAGTAATAATAATATTATTTTTTTATATTTGTTATTATAAGTGTTCCGCAGCGTATAAATACCGCAGTGGGCAGTAGCGGTTTTACAACAGTATAGGGGCGGGAGAGATCTCCCCTAAGGTCGTCGTCTTGTTTTGCTTTCGTTTTTACGATTTCTCATATGATTCTGACCTCGGTTTTACTGTGACGAGTGTTTGTTTTTTTTTTTTTGTCTAGTCAGTGCTGCGAGCGGGTCGTTTTTCAATTTTCCGTGTAAATATATTGATAAATTCAGAAAACCGAGTATTTTCGCATAATATTAATTGTTGGCCGTACAGAGTCGACATGGGCAACAATGGAAAAATATCACTAACATAATACTCTGCTCAAAGTCCTTGTTTCATTAGCGACGGTTTGTCGACGCAGTCAGACATAAATCGAATCACTTCCTATAAATCCCCCCGTCCCACTTCCCACCGAAAACGGCGGCACGCCCATCAGCCGTGTCGGCCTTTATACGTTTTCAGGGCATATTACACGGCGCGTATATCCGCACGTTTTAGCGCTGCTACAAAACCCGAATGATAATTCGAAAAATCGTTTTCGCCGTGAGCAGCGTGCTACGAAAAAGGCGACCGCTTTCGCGCCGTTCGCGACGCTTTAAAAAGCATCGCGTATAGAATAACCGTCACTGCGCAAAGGTCGCGAGGGCTCAGAGCATTGTTGCAGTGTGTACGCATCGTTTTACATATTATATTATAATACGGGAACAATAATAACAATATTATTATTGCAGGTACTTTATGTTCCCCCGGCGTACCGTTTTTGGCGGCGGTCCACACGCACGCATTATAATATATTCACGCGTGCCTGCATACGCAGCGATGGTCTCTCGTCGCGTAATAGTAACGGTGCAGTAGATATTTACATACGCCGTAACGCTATCATTAGAGCGTCCCGGATTGCGGTGGAAAGGCCGTTTGTTTTGCGGTTAAAGTAGCGAGAGAAGGGGAGGGGAGGGGAGGGTTGGGGGGGGGGGGGGGTGTTCGGGGAAAACGTGTTCTCCGAGTTCGACTCGCCGGTATAGCCGATATTATCGCGCCTACGCGGTCGGGCGTACGAAAAGTCGAACGTTTACCGATAATTTTGCACGTATTCCTCCTTAAGGTCCTTATTATATTACGGTCGATTTTTCTCTCCGTCGCCGAATAACCGCACGCCGTTATTCAGCTCTATGCATATTATAATAATGTTGTTTTATAATAAAGCGCGATAAATGACTTTTAAATAATACGGTATTATTATAAGCGATCGTCGTCGCAAACACGTTCCGGAACGCTTTTTCAAAACGATTGTAAAAGAATATTATAAATTATAATACAATACAACGTTAAAGGTATATTTTCTTCACGGTGAACCTATATTTTACACTGTTATAGCGGTACGTAAAATAAACAACGTAATAACAATAATATGTACTTATGATAATAGGTTTACGGAAAAAAAAAAATATATATATATTAAAAACGGTTTATTTTGCAACGAAAAAAGAAACCGTGTATTGATCCCCCGGTACATTTGGACACTTTTAGCGGCCGGTTATAAAAAATAAATCGCACTAGGTAATGCCGGTTTTTTTAATTTTTTTTTTTTTTTTTTTTTTATCGGCGGACTGAAGTGATAGCGTTTCGGTTGAGTTCCAATGCCAAGTACAGGTCCCCGGATGAAACCGATGGGATCGAATTTAATATATTATTTACGGTATATGCGTCAATGGCGTGCATTTTGGTGGTTTTAACTTACAATCCGTTCCCCAACTATTTGTACGCGTTAATTTCATGTTTTCACGGTTCACGGAAACGAGGAACTTGGTTAAAACATAAATATTTGCATAGATAGAATTATTGTTGTCGAGGATGTTTCTTTAGAAGGTTTGAACCTCCAACCCCGCCGTCGGTTTGTACGCTAGCAAATATCCCGAGAACTACTTTAACTATTTTGATAAAACTTTTTTTTGTTCAGTTTCTTGTCGTTGGGAAGGATCCTTATTGAGGAACGAAGGTTGGAAACGCTACTTTTGAAATGAATGGACAAGGAATGAGAAAGCGATTCTATTCATGAGGAACGTGACCTCAAAAATCTTCGTTCCGTCATATTTTTATTTTTTTTTTTTTCTAAAATGTTTCAATGTACCGTAAATTATACGCGAAGATAAATACACAACCGCATATCTACAACGTGTAATCATATAATGTATTTTCCGAGCGAATTAATTATCGGTATTCTCAAACTAAGAGAAATTAGTTCGGACGTTGCAATATGTATTATAAAAGAAAAAGAAAAAAAACTAGGAACGGGAACGAATCGATTTTTAAAAGGAACTTTTCTACCCACCGCGTATAGTCGTTTAGCCGTTGTAAACTCCGTCGGCATCAGTCGACGAACAGAACACCATTGTGTATTATAATTCCGTCGTAAGTTCGCATAACGTTTGGTCGGCCGACGACGGCGAACTGTCGGCAGTGTAATAATCTAATGCAACGTGAATCATTCTTCCGGAATTCGCCCAAACGGGGGGTTTTAAACGTACACGCGCGCGTATATTATGTATATTTATATACGTATATGCGTGTATGGGTATAGCCGTATACGCGTCATGATCTCGGGTTTCGCCCTAGGTACTTTTCGGCTGTATTTAATAGCCGACCCGGGCCGAGGACTCCGGACCCCGTAATTATTATCTATAAATCGACGACGTGATCAAATAAATCTGGAAAAACGAAAAACGTCTCCGCGCGTTGTTTGTTTTTCGGCCCCTCCCGCCCGGCGGCCGATTTCTGTATACCGCTTTTAACACCGCCCCTCGCCCGTATAGTATACATGTATATAATATAATACCAATCAATATTATTATTATTATTATTATTATTATATATTGTAAGTACGGAAAAGTCAGAAATCCGATATCGCGGTAATATCTTCATAGGATTATTATTATCATTATATATATATAGAAAGGAAGATAGGACCTACACGAATGTCTCTTTTTTTTTTTTTTTAAATTGCTCCGGCGCACGGATAGCCCTCGAGGTGAATATTTATGATCATTGTGTACACGTGAAATTTTTCTAACATTATATAAGTACTACATACGGACGCCGGCCAGGTGGGTCTTATATTAAGCCTTTTACAAATACGCGTTTCGGCGTGATGTCTGCAGCCAGTAACTATAAGGTTTTTCATTCGTAATGCGCTACGCGAAAAGTGATCCGATATTGCCCGACGCCCGTAATACACAGTGTGACCGTATAGTAATAACATTATTTTCCGGATAGTGGCGAGAGAAAAAAGCCGGACGCGCAATACGCACGCCACACATAGACCACTGCTGTAGGACGATATATGTATAGGAGATATGAGATAATTTATTTGATATATTGAAAGTAACGATAAATCATCGTGACGATACGGTTGTTACAGTATCAGCCGTATAGTTCTCGTATAGTTTTCCCTTGTAACTACGGTTACTCAGGAGTCAACGAAAACAAAACTATAATACGTATCGGCGTTATTTGTTTTTTTTTGATTTTTCAGAAATCAAATCTAGAGTTATCTAGAGTTGAGAATCTAGCGAAAATAGTTTCCAAAATAAATTACCACCGGCGCGGGGGCGAAAAATACGCATATTTGAATGTACAACGTTATCGATTCGGAGCATTTTCACTGACTGAAAGCGTTTTCCGAGAAAATAAATTACAAGTTTTAGTAAAGCTCATATAGTTTCTTTGCCAAACTATCCGAATCTAAAATGGAAAATGATTAATAATATATAATAGTAAATAATAATTAATATAATATGTGTACAACGCTAAACTGTTTCCAACAGAAAAAAAAATACAGAAATCAATAAAAATGATACCCTTGTGAATTTGGCAGCGCAAAATTGGAAATTGACCCCCCGGTGAAAACAGTGTCCGACAAATTTTGAAAGTCGTCCAACAATCCACCAACAAATTTGTTGGATTGA